CATCAGTCAGGATGAAGCAGACAATCTTTAGGCAACGTGCAGAGGTCTCCAGATCACAGACCCTGCATCTTAGAGGTAGACAATAAGGTCCCTGATAACCTGCTAGAAGGGCAGGGCACAAACCCCTAGATTTCTGAAAGGTGTTGAAAGTAACTCATTAACACAGGTCATGAGCTAAACAGGGCTCTTCTGGATCTGCTATTAGTGAACCGTGTCGAACTTGCTATGGAAGTGATAATCAACAGCAGCCTGTGCCAGAGCAACCAGGAAAGCGGGGAGCTCAAGACTTTGAGGAGAAGGAGGAAGACAAGTAGCCAAATACACATCCTGAATTCTAGGACAGCACAGTTTGCTTTATCCAGGGAATTGGCAGGTGGGATCCCATGGGAAGTTGCAGAATCTCCAGCCTCAGAGCTTCTTCCACACCCAAGTTGATGAAGGCCTAGGCAACATGGTCTGAATTCACTGTTAATCCTGCTTTGACCTTATGAGCAGACTAGATGACTTCATGATGTCTCTTCCAAATTCAATTATTAAATGATTTCATTACTCTTTTTGGGTTTTAATCCTGAAACCACTACAAATTGCTGAAGTTACTGCAGTTGCAACATCTTTTCAAAGGCATTCTGTTAAGAATAACATTCTAGTTAAGTATAGTAGATTCTATAGATTGCATTAAGGATAATAAATTACAACTTTATCATGTATGACCAAGTCAACAAGAGACAGTCATGCATTTCACAAATTCTGTGAGCTAAATTACCTTGAAAACTAATTCTACAAATCAACAGATAGCTTTCTCCTACTTTAACACCTGGCTCACTTAGGAAGCAGACAAGATCCAACATAAGAAAAGGGCGTGTGCAGTCAAATGCAAAGCAAGATTCCAGCAGCACTAATTTACATCAATTTAAGGCCATAGTTTCACATCCATTAATATGCCAATGTAGCCAGATAGCCATTTCTCTACCTTTCTCTTACTCAATCATCTCTCATAGGAGATCTTGCTTTAATACAGAATCACAGAACTCCTAACTATGAAGTTCAAACTTCTGGACTTCGAATTATTTTTTAGGAGCTATACAGCTGTCTACTCTTCTCTTTGGTTGTCACAATCTTAGACAAGAAAGAATAGATTATTTTTAGAAAATCTTCGTATGCCTTGAAGATACAGCACTAAGGTCAGCTGCTGGTCAAAAACACGGTCTAGGTCAAATTGCAGAAACTGTCTCAAGGCAAGATGATTTAGAGACCAGAGTGTGGGAGTAATAATTGCCTTTTATATCTTTGGTACACACCATTAGGAGTATCATACAGCTATAAGAGGAATCTCTGTTTGAAAGCTTGAGGAACACGCAGTGCTTGTCCCCAGGAAGATCATTTACACTGATGAAGACACAGCAGCTACTTCTTCCTTCTTCAAGATAACAACTAGTTGATATATAAGCAGATCAAGAGTTACATAGAAATAAATAGCTCCCTAGATCTAACAGTTTAATCTTAATCAAAATCTTGTCTTTATTCCACCAGACTGAGTCTAGTCTGTTAGACGGGACCTTTTTTTTTCTTCAATATCCTGAAACAGTATGTTAAAAACTTCAAAAATATGCAAAGTGTGTTCGTGCACACATATTGCCATGCCAGCATCTCCTCCAATATAGAACTACTCTCTCTTTTCGGGTAAGCAGCAAAGCACAAAAAAGTTCCTTGTCAGTACGCTTTATCAGTTTCTCTCATACCTTTTCACGTAACTATTTTCTCTTACGCTAATACAAGTCTATGAAGCTCACTGGTTTGTAGGTTTGTTTTCTTTAAGCATAGGTTATGGTTATTTTACCAATGGTTATGCCCAATTCAGATACACCAAACATTTTCCTAGTTTAGACTGTGTACCATTTTGCAAAAAATCAACACAGCCATTTCAAATGTGCACATATTCAATCCGACAAAAAATAATTCTAAAAGACGAAGATAAGAAGAAAGCAGAGTGCAATACCTGAGTAACCTCAGAGCAACAAGTACGTATGCCGTGCACTATCAAGTAGGAGATTACAAAAAATAACATTAAATTTGCAAGAACACATTTCATAAATACTCACTGAAAGGTACCCTTGATAATCCTGTTCTATTTTTCACATCTTTTATTAGTTTTATGGAAGTTTTTTGCCTGTGCAAGACTCACATTCAAATGCATAGAGGCAGTTCTCAGTAGGAATTCTTCTAAAACTGCCCACCCACACAATGTTTATTATATCGGAAGAAAGCAAGATGGGAGAGAAGACAACTTACCAAATGAGGATCAGAGTAGATAATCATTTCTGTCCTTGGCCAAGACAAAACAAAACTTGAAAATACCACCTGAACACTACGTATTTTTATTACTCGATTCATTCGCCACCTTAACATACCATTACAGTGGTTTTTGGATCTTTCCCAGCAAGGTCTTTAACAGCAATTTCTTCATCACATTTTCCAAAAGTAAAGTAGTTTGGATAGAAAGCACCAGCTATTACAACCTGAAATCACAAGGAAATATTTTGTAAAACACAGCAGATTATATTCAGTTTCTTAAAAAAAGAGATACACTAGCAACATAAAGAGATACTGACAGATCTTCATATGAAGATTTTTTTCCTGTCTCTTTCCAGGAATTACTGTCATTTCGGCTAAACATTAATGCACACAAATCCTTAGAAACATACTTTCATGAAGAAGAGTTCAACTTCTGAAACAATTTTACAACATTTTAGTATTTTTGTATGCAGAACTGCTCTATGAAAAGTATAATCGTCAGCCCTGTTATCAAGAAGACCATCAATTTTAAATAAATTCACATAAAATAGCTGCATGAAACTTGTTCAGTTTTCATGTTACATGTTATAGTATTTAACAATTCAGCTCTGAAAAGTTCCCTGCTTACACAGTTAAACCAATTGTCACTGAAACAATAAAGAGGTCTGTGAACATAAAATCACTACTTATCAGCCTAAATAAGGCAAGAAACTTAATTGGAAATTTGACAAATTTACAATAGTTGAAAGACTATTCTTTCCCCCACCAATAACTAACCAAGCCAGTGGTGGCCCAAATAGAGCACTCAAAACAAGTGAAAACATCATTTTTAAAACTGCTCATTCTTACGACTTCCAACATAAACCATCCTTTTTTAGACTGTTTTTACAACTTTAACAAAGATTTGTCTAGATACACAGTTTAATTCATCTCAGTATGACTTGGTTTTATTTTGATGAACTGTCAGAAGTGAAGGGACAGCCAGAGGACCAACTTAGTATGAATTCTGAACCATTAGAAGTAACACCAGTTGTCCTTCTAAGCTGACAAAAATAATTATTTTTTTCTTTCACCTGCAATCTCAAAATCTACAGAGAATTTTGAAACATGGATGTAATACTAGTTCATCAGTACTCATATATAAAAATCCAGCTATAAATTTTGTAAATAATGTCTCTCCCCAGAAGAGTCAATAAAGCATTACCCGCAAAATGAAGCGTTGTTTGTATACCCATTCCTCATCCACAGCAGATGGTTGAGCATTAACACACATGTTAAATGCTTTGACTCTCTGTTTCAAGTTGTGAAATAACTCTGCCACCTGAAATTTGAACTCTAAGTTACATATTAAACAGATCAAAACCGTCCACAAATTAAAATAAAATCTGTTAGTAAAAGTCTTAATAAGGAAGGGGAGTTTGCTCAAATACTGGGTGACACTAGTATGCGTTTCACCAAATATACTGCTTAGCATCTCTACTTCAGAAAATAATTTCACTACTGTGAGTCAAGCAGTTTTCTTGGCATCTCTTATAAAGTAGAATTTTGTAGTTGCAAAGCATATTATGCATATATGACATCAAACAAAATTAGAAAAAGAACTGAAATAACCTTTTACAGGATGATATAGTGATTCACCATTTAAGTCATTTTGGGTTCATAACTTAAAAGGTAAAAACCATGCTAACACCAACCTGGACTGCTGCACTTAACTGTAGCAGTGACCACGCATGCTGCACCCTCAGTTCAGCAGACAACCATGATGACTTTAAGTAAGATCAAACTTATGCCTTACAGCAGAATGTGCCCTGTTAAGCTTTCAATCCTAAGCACTTCTAAGAAGCTTCCATAAGCAGCTAATGGTCCTCCAACCACACAGTGAATGCCTTTATTGTCCCAACCAATTTTGGAGCAAGTGTAGAAAAGTACAGTCTGCTCAACTGCTTCATAGCTACATTTTCCTTTCTGCTACTGGCAGTTTTAGGATACTAACAGAAATCAGTCTGTGTCGCTGCCTCAGTTCTGCAAATTCACTTCCACACAAGGAGTTACAAAATTAGTACCTGGAAGTGTGGCAAATAAAAAAACCCAAACCTTCTTAATAAGCGTGAGTGTAGGTGCCCATTCTAAACTTCTGAACTATCATGTCATGCACAATCTCTTCTTGGATGAGCTGAAATTGGGCCAAGAGAACACTAACTACCCAGGAGGCTATCATAAGACTGATCATTCTGCTCTTCAGTTTTACATAATTTGCTTTTTTCCCCCCTCTTATTTTTCTTGGTATCAGATACACAAGCTAAAAATCTACTGGTATTTCTTATCCAGATAGTTGCTTAGTATGAAAAACTTTTTCTTTTTACCTGTGCTTTTTGAACACAGGCCCTACACTGATCACACCAAAGGTATGACCCGCTGGAATAATGGGCAAGGCCATGCTCTGCCCATTGCAGTTATTCAGGAGTTTGACTTATTTGCCCCTCTCAAAATATCACATTAAGATTGAAGCCCTTTGTGATGATGCCTTTTTTTTTTTCTCATTGCTGCAGTAAAGTTAGCAACAAAACCCCACAAATTTTCAACTCCAGTTCTAATTATATAACTGCATTTGCTTAAAATTGTCCTAACTATAAGACAAAATTTATGTAGTGACAAACAGCAGCCACACCACAACCAGTATATCTGAGGGACCTGTAGAGTTAGCAAAAATATTGGAGGTCTCTTAAAAAAAAAAAACTGTTAAAAATAGGTTAAACAGTTAAAAATTTCACACCACTTTGTTTATCCTAACAAAAGGAAAGCTCCTTTCACAAGCTAGCAGTCTGTTTCCAACCCCCACTTCTGAGCTAAGGTAATACTGGACATGCCACTCCTACGGACTCCACCAAGAGCCATTTCTCCATAGTGTCAATTGTGGCAGTTAATAATCTACTTAAAGAGTCCATCCCTCCCAGGCATGGGTCCTTGGCCTTATTAACATATAAATTATTATCTGAAGTCTATTATTCACGAGAATGCACAACTGGCTTTGTTAATATTACAATGATTTTCCTCACCTCTGTCCTTTCTTTGCAACCATATATAAATGAGGTCTCTGCAACCACTCGAGAGGAGAGAGGAGTAGAGGGGAAAATGCTGCCCAAATGTTTGCTCGCTATGGTCGTAGCTTATTAAAGCTTCTGTCTGATATGTTTTCAATTGTACTTGGAGTCCTGATATTCTCCCTACTTTAAATAGTACCAGCTCTCCTCCCCCAAACAAAAACCTAAAATTTCACCATTTATTTGAAGAAAACATACATCTATATGTATTGGTAGATACATAATAATACAGTAGGCTTATCCGAGATCTTAACATTTGTAGAAAACAAGGAAAGTTAAGTCCTTCTGCTTATAAAAATGATTATCTATTTCATCTTACCTCTTTGACCTTCTTGATATGAATACCATTTGATCGACCCCACTCAAGCTCTTCCTGGAAAAGAAAGTGAAAAACAAAAATGCAAAATTTTTTAGAAACTTGTTTCTTCTACTGCTAGTAAACTCTCTCATACTGTTCTGTGTAGACATAAATAATAGTTATATACAGCGACGGAAGAATTTGATCTCATTTCACAGCTTTCTTTGCATCCATATCAATCGAGTACTATGACATGTATGAAAATTTAAGAAAATTATATATTTGACAAATTAACTATACTTTGGTTACCACCAGTATACCTGTGGGTCATCTAAACTTTTCATATAAGCCCACAAGTCCAACTCCTCTGTGTTGCTACTACAGAATCTACTTTAAGATGAAGACTTCTTCCAAAAAAACAGGACTTCTTTATCTGGATGCATAACTTTATCAGACAGATTCTGGCCATCCTGGCTACTCATTATAACTGGCTGTACATTACGCACTGGTGTTCATAAACCACATTATGCTTTGAAAGAAGCAGAGAAATAAAAAAAAGGTTTTATCTTATACACACAAAAGAAAGACTGGAGGCAGTTATTGTGTGCATACTACTGGTTTTTGTGACTGATGCACATAAAGATCTTCCACCTTTCAGGGTTTCGAGAGGGGACAGAGATGTGTGTGTTTCTTTAAAAAAGAGAAACTTATGTATATTAAAATTATTTCTTTCAATTTCCCTTTTCAGCTTGGATTTCAAACCCTCTGGCCACTGTTGACCCATCTGTGAAAGGGACTCCATATGAGATTACCTTCAAATACTCAGCACTGGATTCAAAGACTCATGTTGTCTCACAGCCTATGCTTCTATTTACTTTGAAAAATTGTAACTATTATAAAGGAGCATTGTTAGCAAAAGTTCCTTACTAAGAACATAAAATACTCCAGCACTGAAGTCACCAACCTTGAATACAAAAGAAGAAATAAAGTTTAACTAACCTTGGGATGTCTCAGCTCTCCTTTTTCTTTGCAGGCCTGCCACGCCTAAGAAAGAAGTGGTGTAGTATTCAGGCACAAACTGTAGTGCTTTAGTAATAGTTGCTACAAGTATTAATGTGACATTTAAAACTATCAAGTTTTCCATACCTATACTGAAGATAAATTTTTAACACCAATTTAAAAACCAGAGGTGCCCTCGGGCTAACACAGACTACAAATATTTAAGCACAAAATGGTATAAGGAAATCTGAATCACAGTAATTTAGGTTAGAGGAGGATTCTTCAGATCAGTTGTTCCAAGATCCCACACAGCAGGGCCAACTTACATCAGGTTTTTGAGGATCTTATCTATAAAACCCCGAGTAATCTTGAATGACCTGATGGCTGAACCTGCTCTGAGCAGGAGACTGGACTACAGACCTCCTGAGGTCCTTTCCAGCCTTAATTATCTCATGATTCTAGTCTAATATGATGCTTGCCTGGTTGGTTCCTAAGCAGATATAAATACTTCTCACTCTTACGGATAGTCTTTCTCTATTTTGTTGAGGGTGGGCAAGACCTCTAGGTCTTCCTTTGCTCATTTATGAGCACACAAAGTAGTGTGGCTGCAAACTGAAATTCTAGGAATGCATTACTGGAGGGCTGAAAGCATGGCAGGGTTACAAATTTTGTACCACAAAAAGCTGAAGAACAAGAACTGCTACTGGAAGACAACTACTCTGCCTTCAAGTCAGCTACAAGGTTATGGCATGCAACGCCACATCTACAGACTGAAAAGGAGTTTAAGCACTATTGGATGAATTGTAATTACATATAGTGCCTCAAACTTTACATCAGCTCCTGAAACTAAATTGGAAACATAGCATTTAGATCACTAAATTTCTGGACATAGATTCGAGATTCTGGATCTTTGCACATTCCAAAAGCAGACTGAGCATGTTATATTCCAACGCTTAAAAGGAGTAAGTCCTGATTTGTGGTGGGAGAGGTACAAGAGCCACTTGATAACACACAATAGGCTATCCACCTAGTTTTCTGAGAGGAGATGGACCGAGTATTACAGCACATGAAAACATTCATGAATAAATAGAACAACTTGTATGCTTTGATTTGATGCTGTAATAAAGCAGGCTACTTTCAGAGCCTTTCTTTTCTCCTTGGTTTGGGACAAAAGCAAGCGAACTGACTGATTCAGACTTGGTTTGGGACAAAAGCAAGCGAACTGCGAATTCTGATGTGGATGCCTCAGGGCTGGAAGATAAATTAACATACCCAGGTTCTTAATGAAAATAATTTCATTATTAGGCAGCAAATCTATGACAGATGCCTATAACAGAAGAATCCACTTCTTCTAGTTTGACAGCAAGCCACTTCATAGTAAATTTTCCAGCTTACTATGGACACCAACTATTAGCATAGCTGAATAGCCAGACTACATTTCTCTACCTTGATTGAGGCTGGCTGATGTACTGACTTTAAATAATACTTTTGACACCACCACTTCCATACCCAATCCTTATAATACATCAGAAAAATAAACTGCACTTATTTGACATTATTTTTTCTTTTACAAACTCTTTCTTTTTTAAATCATATCACTTAAACCAGGCTGATTAGCCTTCACTTCCCCGGATTTTCCTATTTCTACTACCAAAACTTTTGACTTTTTCTAATTCACTAAAACTTCTGCATGAATGAGGGGTTAAAAAAGACATACTAATAATTCACAGAACTTCAGCCTATGCTGGAAGAAACCTAATCTGAAGCCGGGAGTTTGAAAACAAGTTCTTTCCCTGTTCTTTTCTGATACCGAGCCATTCAAAACATCAAGCCTTCACATCATTCACACACAGAGATACTGCACAGGAAGCTCTATTTGAATGTTTCTGTTTATTCTCCAGGAAAACACTGGTTTACACAAGTATCACCTTCAGATTAACAGGACATGAGGGAAATTTAGTATGCAACAAGATAAGGGGAATTCAGAAGAGATGATGCTGGAACCCCAGTATTAGTGGATACATGCTGCATATGTGCCCACGTGTGCTTCATAAAATTCTGACACCAGAATACAGCAAAAGACGACAGACAAAGTAAAAAGAGCCAACATACACAAAATGGAATAAACTAGATCTGCAGCTGAAGATTTTGAAGTCTCCAGAATCTTACAGAACATGTCATACCACCCATAATGGAAAACGTTGGATTTTGAATAGTAATTTCCTCCAGCAGAAGTGTTTCCTATGCTCTACCAGTGCCGCTTATAGCTGCCTGGGATCGACCTCTGTCCATGGTACTGTGCTACCGAACAGCCCAGCGTACAGAAAAAAATCACACTTGGGACAGAATAAAATAGTACAAAGTCAAAGCTATGAAATCTGGAAAAAGGACACCAAACTCATTCTGTGCTAGAATTTACCAGCCCAAACTGCCCTTGGTTAAAAAGGTGCTACCAACATCACCGTGTCTCTGACATTTTATTTTTGGTTATTACAATAGAGAAATAAATGCCACAGAAAAGCTGTACATTTTTCAGCCCTGACTGAAGTGGATTTATGATAAAATAGAATTTCCTCTCATCATCAGTGGATTGCCTACACAAAAGCACTGTAGCA